CAAGTCCAATCATTTTCACCCTGGACCACTCAGGCTGTTTCAGGGTATGTGCACTAGTGTGCAAGGAAGATTTCACCATCCTGTCTTCTACCAAATCACAAGTGCATTCCCAACTGAATTAGTATTTCCAGTAGTCCCTTCCTTCTGAGGCAGTAGAGGTGGCTGTTGTGAAATCAGATATCCTTCCAGGAGAATGTATATGCCCACGAAACACAGATTTATACACATCCCCATAGCTGCCATTTTCCATTCCCTGCAGCCCTTGTAAATACATGGTTCCTGCACAGGGACTTTTGTTTCCTGGATAGTATATGGAACGTGATTAGATTACAAAATTGACTTCTGACTCTGATTTGAAAAGTTGACACTGAAAAATTTAAATACTAGAGATATTGAACTATTGCCTCTTCTCCACTATTGCAGTAGCTGAGGGTCCTGTCACTGGGGCATGTTGTGCCGGGGGGGTGGGCTAATATCTAACATTAAATAGTAAAACCAACAAGTTATCCTTTCGTCTTCAAAGAGTTTTAGAGCGTGCCTTAGAACTGTAACAAAAGCAATCAGCATAAGTCATAAAAGCACAGATTTCCCTTAGCGGGATGCCCACTTTACCTGACAAATTTGTACTGGGTAATTTGACAGCAGTAGAATGTATAGTCATAAACTACCAATATACACTGTTATTTCATTCTAGCAACACTTTGTGTCTTTGTACGACAGTGTTAATAAGCACATTTCAATTTCCAAGCATCACCTACATTAATCCTTTAGATTCCTTCAGCACTACAGATAGACAGTTGTGAAGAAGACATCCCTATTAAGTAATGATTTGCTAGAAATTGCAGCTGGTCATAGATACCTTATGCTTAAAGCATTGAGGTAAAAGGCTTGGTAATTCAAATTACTGAAAGCAGATGGTTGTGTGTTTTGATGCTTTGAACACACACACACACACACACACACACACACACACACACAAACACTATATAGAGAGGGTGTGTGTGAGAAACCGGTGTGCACCAAATATTGGTGGACTACAACTCCCATAATCCCTAACTATTGATCAAGTGAGATGGGCTTGATAGAAGTTGAAGTCTAACAACATCTGGGGTGGGATACAACTAATGAGTCCCATCAGTAGAAGCCAGTACAAGGACTTCAGTTCATACAATGCGGCTTTCCTCCCCTTCTCCCTCTTGCACTCCTGAAATGCAAGAGCTCCTGGGCCCCTCGGAAAAATCCCAGAGCAACACATGCGGGGAGGAGAGGGAGCATCCTTCCATCTGGCAAGCTGAAATTCTTCTTCTGATGGAATGATCAACATAGCATGGCAGCAAATTACTCTCTTGGAGAGCCATAGATCCTTCCACCCATGCTATAAATGCTAAGGTTGATTAGGGTATTTGACACATGGTGAAATAGTTGGAGGTTTCCACCAGGAACACAACTTACGGTTCATTGAACTGTCCAGCGCTCAACCAGCTTTTAAAATGTTTACAGAAACAAACTTCACCACAGTTTGAGCCAATATTGGAAGCCTCCCATGATCATCATACAGAAAATGCAGCCAATCTATAATCACCAACTCTGCCTCTGATAATGGGTATCTACCATCCTACCTTGGGATTGCAAATGTTGTTATCATCACTGGGTACCCAAGATTAGAATAATGGAGCCCTGTTTTCTCCATGCGCATAAGCCAGTGTGTATCATTTCATACTCAGAGACCTTTCATTTTCCTATTAAATATCACTTTCTATAATAATTGTATTTATAACATCCTTCGTTTCATGCTCTCACTAGAATCTTTCATGGCTTGCCAACATTTCTGCCAGATGTCAAAGGAAAGCAGCTCCTGTATCTCTTCTCCGGATTTTCCTTCTTCTCCCAGCCTTAAACAATAAAATGAGCAACCTTTAAAGAAAGTCAATATTCGCCACATACGCTGTCCCACCACTGCACACCAGAATCAAATTACAGCAGTCAATAGCAGACCTTACTTTAATTCACATTGTCTATTCCTTACTTTTGCACTTGCAAACATTAGAAACACTCCTAAAACAGATGCTCATTAGGATGACTTGAATACATTTGTGCAGACAGACCAAACTGCTTCACTGAAACCAATGAGGCTATGTGGTGCTAGAGAAATATGTCAGAATCTTGCTCTTTATAGGGTCATCTAGAAGAATTCAATAAAAGGCATTTATTGAGCTCTTTTATTGTTGATGTTGCTGCTGCAATATTTTGTTTATATAGCTAGATGAGATGATCAAATAACTGTGATCTGATCTATATGTTGTCATATAGCAGCAATGGTGTGGAGGTGATCTGCCTTGGGATCCCACTCTAGTTGGGGTATTAACCCCTCTCCCATGCCATTTTTTCTGATGAAGACTGGCCACACAGCCCAAGCTGTTATTCTGGGAAATTTGTGCTGTGACCAGGCTAGTTGTACACATGCATACTCCATAACAGGGCAAATAGCAGCTGCAGGGGATGATGATTTTCTTCAGGTCAGCAATGCTGGAGGGTAAGGACTCCTAATGGTGGGAGGGTGGTAAGGCGTGAGACTTTTGCTGCCACTGCCTCCCCACCATGTATGTTTGAGGAAAGGAAAGGGACAATGGGGCCACGTCTAACTGGAAGGTTGTGGGTGGGAGGATCTAGTCAACTTGCTTTTGAGTAGTCAAAGACTTGATTGGAAAAGACAAGTGGAAACTAAGGCAAAGCTAGAAGGATTTCATGCATCGTTAGTTTTTAAAAATTCATTTTCATCAAAGTTAATTGGAAGAAAAAATATTATTTAAAATTGAACTGATGCTTTAGAGAGCCCCACAATGACACTAGGCTGCAGTATTCAGTGTGCAATTCCATTTGCTGTATTTGATAGTTAAAGGCTTAATTCCACCTACTTCTGCCAATAAATGCAACGGAAACATCTACTTCTTACTGATTCGGCAAGAAGCAAGAGCATACATTATTCTTATAATACTCACCCACATTAATAGCAGCATCAAAAATATTAGTGTTCCTGGCCAATGGGAATTGTTGAGCCATAATAGCAATGCTTAAATTAGTTATTGGGGGAAAGTATGTGTTTGTGAGAAGGAGATCAATGTTTATTAGATGAAGACAAATTTATGGCCTTAAGAGACTAGCATTCATAGAGTAGGATGACCACAATAGAATTATGAAATCTAAAAACTTTCTTAAATTAAAAGGTCATGGGGAAAACATGATCCAACAATGACTGAATAGTTATCCTCCCCCTAACAACATCTTAATTCAATATGTATATGCAGACATTTAGCAATATGCCATGATCCTCCAGGATAGTTTGGCTGTCCATTGATATCTGTTGAGATACTCAAAAGCTTCTGCAGATATTGATCTCGGGCTTTCTTTCTCTCTCTCCCCCCTAGAGTAAATTAAAGCAAGAAACCAAGAACAAATTATAAAGCTGGAAGCCAAAGGAGGCCATACACACAGAGAGACAAGCAGCTTTGATCTATGACTCAATTGTTCCAGTGTACAACCATTTAAATCAAGGCAACGCGTCTACTGAAAATGGGTTAATGGGATCTTCAGACATTCTATTCATTTTTTGAGGAGAATATGTGAGTGGGAAGTGAGGTCGTACTGAATAGCCTCTCCTCCTGGTGTCCAAACATCTGAGGAGAAGGAGGCTTTGAACATCCAGGCCCTAGCTGTCAACTTTCAGATTTGAAAATAATGGATCAGCAGCCTCAAAAATAAGGGATCAGCAGCCTCACCTGTCCCAGGGACAGTCTATGGGATATCTAACATTCTGGGATAGCAGCGGGAAGCAGTGGGAAACGGCGCTGGAATAAGGGAATTTCCTGCAAAAAAAGGGAATGTTAACAGCTATGATCCAGGCTGCCATGCAGTCTGAAACTGTGTTGTACGCAGGTAAAATTGTGCTGTAGGCAGGGAGAAGGGCTACTTGGCATAACCCTTCTTCCTGCTTCAGTGCCCTCCTGCACTGAGCACAGAATGCCTGAATAGAGCTTATGTGAAGGCCACTTTCAATCCCTCTGCACAGTTGCTCTCACAGAAGAGTGAGCTATATATGTACAGTAGCTATTCATGTGGATTGGGTGGTTGTCACCACAGTACTCTACAAATATCCAAAAAGAAATGTTTGTGGTGGTGTGGGGGTGGGGAGCCTGATTTGCCTGCTGTGTTGCCGCATGCACATGACCCATTTTGCAGTAAAACCTCTGATGTGGAGTAATATAAGATCTCCTCCATGGTAGGCTCTAGAACTGGCTCTCAAGCTGGCAGTACCGACATACATGTGCTTAGCATGAGGAATGAATAAGAAACACAGTTCCAGCAACATTGTAAAATCTGCCATTTTGCCACTGTAGTGATGTTAAACCAGTGTGACAGCAGGTAACTCACACCTGCATTTTGGACTGGAATGCTATTTCTTTGAACCGGTTTTCTGAAGCACACAACCAACCTGATGACTGTGGAAATATTAAGAAGTATTACTTCAACAAAGACTCTATGAGTTTGTATGTGTACAAACTTCCTAGTCTTCCTAGTCACTCTGTAATAAAAATGGGGGGGGTTCCCCCCCCGCACTTGAAACACCTGTGGGTATTGACCAGCCTCACAGACTGGACAGAAATTTAAAACCGCACAATTTAGACTAGTTGTCCCTTAATCTGCTTATTGTGCTCATAGGTAAGCAAATGTTTGAAGCCAAAGAACCAGTTTTTTCTAGGTGAACCACCCAGTTCCAAACACAGTTGGAAGCAAGTGCCAATGAGCTTGATGTGGCTTGCTTCCCGGTCACATGAAATACAAGAATATAAACATGGCTGCAAATACACTTCTAAAAGCTTGCTTCTCCTTAACTTCACCAAGTATAGAAGAACAGAGTTGAAAAGTGTGGGTACATACAAACCTGGAGCCTGACAGTACTTTGCACTAGCTCATAGCTTTAAAAATGACATTCCCAAGGATGTGCTGCATGGGTGCTTCCTGATAAAGTATTTAGTTGGTATTTATATGGTGTATTAAATAAATGCGCAGAAAATGTGTGGTTGGTTGGAGAGCCCCTTCTGGGCTGTTTATTAAGTTAATAAAGCAGCCTTTTTTTTTTCCTTTCTGGAAAATTACTGTGCTAATTAACAAACTCACTGGTATCTGGTTGTGTTAATAAACAAGAAGTGCTTTCTCTAAGATCGCTTTCTATACGGAACACACCGGGATCCGGAGATCAGATTCTGAAGCAAAAAAGCCTTTCTTCTTGATGAGTCTTTGTTCTTAGTTCCAAGATATTCTTTATAGTTTAGGGCCTTGCAACTTCTGAATCTTCTCAACAACTTTAAAAAGATAAGCAAAATTGATTCCAGGTTGTCTCCCAGTCTTGCCATATCCTGTGCTAAAAGATGATGATATGGTTATGAACTTGGATTCAGGTAGAACTGAAGGGACATCTGGCTAACATATAGTCCTAAAGATACAAATTTAATCACTCTTAAATATAATGTAATGCTTTTGCCTTCTACAGCCTACTGAATGTATGTCTGCAGTGGCAAATACTTTATTCTGGTCATGTGCAATGTAGTCATCGCCATCCCAATTTGAGCATTGTAAAAAACAAAAACAACAACAGCCAACACATCAGAGGAAAGAGGGAAAGCTGTTTTAGAACAGCTGCATTGGTTGCCAGTTTACATGTGCATAGTGTCAGCATATCAGTGACAGGAACTCCTGTGAACTACACTGCTGAAAATCACTTGAGGTTTTCTTTCAAAGAAAGCCACCATATTAACTTCTTAGCTAATGCATTTTTTTAAAAAAGGTATGTTATGCAGGCAGGTTTTTTGTGATGGCAGTGGTATGGAGTATGGTAGTGATATAGATAGATAGATAGATAGATAGATGATAGGAGATGCTGGAACTCAGCATGAATGCCTCCCTTGTTCTCTTATAATGGCAATGGCACCCACCTGAGAGGTGCCGGGACTGAGTTTTGGTGAGTTCGGGCTGATAAAAAGCTCTGGAGTGCGGGCTCAACTAGGTTTTGCTGCCCATGGTGTGCTAAAACCCACAATACTTTTGTCAAGGTCTGAGTATCATCACCTTAATTCCCTGCCCCCAAAGCACAGTACACAGGTAACTAACACATTGCTAACAAATGTTTCCGTTTTTGCAGTGTATCGGTTTTGTCACAGAAATCCATCTGAAAGAGTCTAGCTCTCAGTTTTGCAACATCACATGGGAAACAGACACTTCTGCTTCCATATTTTGTACACATGTTTTGCTTAAAAAAATGATATAAAGCTTTGACAGAAAGGAACATTTTAAAATTTCAAACTGTTGCATTTGATTTTTATTGTCACTTGACCTTTTGACCATATCTGCTATTATTTCTATCCAATTTTCTGTCAAAGTTTGCTTAGTATGTTGCCCAGATTTATAACTATTTTAAACATGCCTGAGAATGCTGAAAAACATTAATCTTCAGTTGCAAAACTGGGAAAGAACTATTTAACAGCCACTGAGCCTATTGGTAGCAAACCATTGAAATTTTTGCAGCTTTTGTCAGCAGATCTGGGATTTAAGAGAAAGCCTCACAACAAATTAGGCTGCAGTCCTATATTCACTCAGCCAAGAATGAGACCCATAGAGCTCTTTGAAACCAAATCTTAACTAGCTGTTCACATCTCTGCATCAGTGGGAAAGACAGGTTGAAAAGATATTTTAAAGTTTCAAACTAACTTTTTTTCAGTAACTCCCAAGTTGGATAATATAAGAGTATCTGCAAAGAAGGCTGCACATTCATCACAGCGGACTAAACATGACTCAGCTTCTGGGTGAAGACTGCCAAGGGTGACTAAACAATTCACCATCTGGAAGATTTGGTGACACTTTGCAGATGCAATGTTGGTCAAGAAGCAGATGTTCTATGTTTGTTTTGCTTTGCTTTTTACCACTGGTACTGCCCTGGTTTAGTCCTTCTTAAATGAGAAGGCAAGAAGGAACCCATGTTCACATATTTACAGACTAGCTAGTGACAATTTCCATTAAATTATTGCCACATTTTACAACATCATTTCCCATGGATTTTTAGAACAACTTAATGCATTAATTTGAAAATGCTCCATGCCAATTGAGCTCAATCTGATCATCTATTTTTCAATGAAATCAAATGCAAAATAGAATTATTATCCATCTAGCATTTTCACGTAAGTTTTTAAGCCTTAGGTCACAGTGATAGCTCTGCGTAGAAAACATCTTCCATACCAATTATAAAGAGAATAAAAAGTGTGGGTCATAGTCATCCTACAGAACAAGTTTAAATATCCAACAAATTTTATATTAACGACAGCTGAGAACTGTCATAGAGTGCAGTATTATTTCACTTTCTGTCAGTGGTAATTCAAAAACAAAATGGGTCATTTCCGGATTGCAAACAGAAAGAGCAAAGATGGCTGTTGCTCACTTGTTCACAGAGACACACAAATTCAAGCATCGCTTGTGCCTAAAAAGCAAGGCATGGGAAAGCAAAGGTCAGGAAACAGGTTTCTTACCTATCTGGGTCCTAATCTTGGCAAAAAGGGTTTGAAGCCTTCTCTGTATATGTCTGTTAAAAACATACAAACTAATGATTTCCATTGAGTGAATATATATATTCCTGGTAAAAAAATGTCTAAGCTATACTTTTCAATAATCCTGTTTTCACTTACGGTAATATTTCATCTATATTGAGAGAAGGTGGGAAATGATTCAGGCGTATGGCAGTCTATAAATTTCATGTCATCAGTGTTTTATCTAGTTATTCTGCTTGAGGGTGCAGATTCTGACACTGGTCATGTTCCTTGAGTTCTTTACTGCACAGTGCATATCATGCTATTTGATGAGAGTATATGTGTACCATAGGTAGATATGTCATCAGGTGCATCTTATATTTGAGTAGAAATTATAAGACATGGATCCTGTTGGTTTTCATAGCCGCTTTTGATTTTATTTAGCTAAATATGCACAGAATCGTCCAGAAGTTATCATTTTAAAGACAGGCATCTTAAAGAGTGACCAGTTTTCCATGGCATGAACTCCAATTGGTAACAGCCTACTTCATCAGCCCTGAACATAAAAACCTAATATATATCCTGAACAGAGGTATCTAGGTGTGAACACCAAACGATTTTGGAATGGTGCCTATGACTGTAGAACATAACCATAAGAGAGATGGAAGTGAAAAGTAAGGATTGTTTGTCCCAGGTCTTGGGTTCATTTGTTATTCTGGTCTATTCTTTTCATAGCAAGAGCTTAACCCTGCCTATACAAGCCATTAATTCTGCTGATTAATTCGGTGCTGCACAAAGCTAAGAACGGTGCTAAGAACAATGAAGTTCTTAGCAAGACTTACAGCAATTATATCTTATTTAGTATTTGTATTTTTCCTAGTACATTTTGAAAGGGTTGAAGGTGGATGAAGCTGATAAGAAATGAAGCAAACCTCAGATAGGTTCCTGACTTGTTTCTCATACATGAGGTTTATTTCTTCTGTCATAACTTCCTCATGGCTAGAATTAGATTGTGACTTAAACTCTAGTATCCTGGCTCATGTGCTGGTTGATAAGGACTTGCCAGGACCTAAGGGATGGCTGTAACCTTTCCTAAGCATACAGCTTGATCCTGTAGGTCAGTGGTGCCCAAACTTTTTTCAAGGAGGGCCAGATTTGATGAAGTGAAGGGCTGTGAGGGCCAACCAAAGTTGTTGCGCTTTTTTTAGGATTGAAATTGTTGAGCTTTTTTTTTTTAGGGTTGAAGTTGTTGACGGGTTTTTTGAGGATTTTACCCCATAAACTGCCGAAGGGGCCGGATTAGGCCCCCGAAACAGACTTTGGACATGTCTGTGGTAGAGCCTTTGGCCAACAAGGGGAACAAAGGTGTGCTAAAGGTGGGAAAGGAGATTGCAGAGGAGCTGAACGGATTATTTGCATCTGTCTTCAGAGCAGAAGACTCGCGAGTAACATAAAAGTAATAAGGTGAAACAGGAGAGATGCGAGCCGGGAAAGGTGACGGAAGGGCTCGGCCGGGCGGCAACTCACCTCGCAGGCGGTGTGCCATCCCTTTGGCCCAGGCGAGGCGGTGAGGCGGCGGCTGCTTGGCGACATCCTCGCCCGTCTCCTCGTGAGGGAAACGTGGCGTCGGCATCGGGGCGCCTCCGGCGGAGCAAGGCCACTGGCCTTCACCTTCCCCTCCGCCTTCCTCCTTTTCGCCGTGCCACCTGCGCCTCCGCTGCCTCCCACTCTCGGCGGGCCCTCCAGGGCGTTGAGCGTCGGGCTCCGAGGGCGAAGGCGCCCCTCCTCGGCCCCACTCCACCACGCCCATCTGCAGCACGGGCCCCGCCGCCGCGCTCCCACCAGCCGCCCTGGCCGCTTCGCCCGCCTCCTCCTTGGGCTCGAAGCCCGGGTTGTCCCGGCTCCAGGCCTGCCTCGAGCAAGACGAGAGCGGTGGCGACGGCGAGCAAGACGAAGGAGGAGGAGAAGGAGAAGAAGCACCGACGATGACTCCGCCGCTGCTGCTGCCCGGCGGGTCCCGCAGCCGCCCCAGCTCCAGATGCTCCAGGCCGCCGGGAGGGCAAAGTCCCGCCATGGCCCCCTGACCCTGGACGAAGGCTGCCGCCGCCTCAGAAATTTTCTCTCAGGCCGGCCGAGTAACGGCGCGGGAAGGGAGCGCCTTTGCTTTCTCCACCGCCCGCCTTCCAGCCCCCCATCCCCACCCACAGCGCGCCGCCTCGCAGGGGGAAGCAGGCAGGCCTGGCTGGCTGCTACACGGGCCACATGACGAGGTCTGGCGGGCCGGATTCGGCCCACGGGCCTTGTGTTTGACACCCGTGCTGTAGGTTGTTGAATACTTCAATGGATGTGTTTTCATAATACTCAACCCTGCAAACAGGACAACCTTTATAAGAAGTTTATAAGAAGAGAGACGGTTATTAAGGCATGTTCCAGGGATGTGTGAATGTACAGATGTTAATGTGGGTTTTTGCTGACATCATGGCCACACTTTCTGAGTTATAACAATCCTTGAGCACCTCTGGAAGTTACACTCAAAGCAAGCAAGTGCGCTGCAACATTCACACAACAGCCCTGGCCATTCCCATGGTGGGCACAGCTTATGGGGGGAAATCTTCTTTTTTCAAATTTCGGGAATTGGAATATCATTATTTCCAGTCATTATTAGAAATACTATTTCCAATTTTGCTTTGTGCAAACACCAGATTGCTTACAGGTGGGACTTAGTTTGCAAATGATCTTGCACCAGGCACAGAACTTCTGGGACACTGCAGTGGGTGCCACCAATGGAAGGCGAGAGGTGGTGGGCAGGGGACAGATTTTGGCGTAACACAGGGTACCACTGAAATTTGAGATGCCAAAGTCCACCACTGCCCAAGGTAATGTGAAAGACTGCACATATAAGTTGAATTTGGGCCACTTTTTGTTATCCTGGTGAACTGGCGCAGTAAGTATGGTAATTAAAAAGCCTGCAGGTAATTAAGAACATAAAGCATTTGCTTTCAGGGTTAGAGCACCCAGTAGTAACATTGTAAGTAGTAGAAGATTCTACCCCCCCCCAAAAAAAATCCCATAAAGCTAAAGTCCCCCCCCCCCAGAGCAAATAAAAATAAACTTTCATGGAAGGTTATAAACTCAGTGTTATTTGCCCGAGAGACTGTTCCAATCACTTGGGTAAACATAGAAAGTAGACTTGTGTAAATACATATTTAGGATTGGCTAAATAGTGAGGCATTTTAAAGACATATTTACCAAGTTAAATATACATTTTGGTACCAATATCATATGTATTTAAGTATGCTTCTTCGGCACTATTATAGTCTGAGGGGTAAACTTGAGTTGCAGACATGAAAATGCACAAAAAATTATTAACTAAGGAACAAGTGCTAGCACTGTTTATAAAGTGAGGAATCTTTGTATCATCAGCCTTCTTAGCTTAGTGAAACTCTGGGAATAGGGGAGAAATTTGATTCATTTCTAATTTAAAGGAGAACATACCTTCTTTGTATTTTCCAAGGAAATACATGAACCATTGTCTGAAATTCACACTTCTTCAGCCCAGTAACACATAAAAATTGTGCATAAAGTGTGCATAAAAAATGACATTTTAGTAGGAATATCATAGAAAAATACATTGGGGAAAATAGCTTTGCAAAAATGTGTGCGTTAGCCAGAATTGCACACAAATACGAGTATACTAGGAGAAATTCACTCTAAAATGCTGGTGAATTCTGTGAAAGACTTTTTAAAATAAACAAATCACAAACTGCTGTGGAAATGTAGAGAACTGAATTTATGACTGGAAAAAAGAGAGACAAATGGAAACCAACAAATTCATGCATCACTAAACAGGAGCAAATACTCTCACACATTAATCTTGTGTGCCAGCCGACTTGTGGCAGAACTGCCTTTCCCACTTTACTTCCAGTTGAAAGGCAGTCATGTAATGTGTTATGAGACGATAGCTCTGTTTAGTTGTTTCCCATGCACAGAATCTACATGTGGAGAAGGGAGCAATGGAGCCATGGCTTGTGAACACCTACATAGGCAAAGTCTATAGAGAGGGGTTCTGAGGATATGGAAGATTATATGTGAGCAGCTACTCATACATTGGCTTTTACTAAGGAGACACCAGTGCAAGATTTCAAGGCCAGATCCACAGTGTGGTCTTCTCCATGCCTATGTGGAGAGCAACTGAATGGGGCTCATGATGCATAAGTTCTCACAATAGTTTAGCATGTTAGCTGTAATTCATGCTTACAAAACTTGCTCATAAGTGAGCCAGACCATTGGTCTGCTGAACCAAGTATTTAAAGGCAATGCTATGATTTGAAGCTGAGACCTTCTAAAACATGTGCTCTACTATTGACCTAAGGCCCCTTCTTTGAGGGTATTTAAAGGTACAGCCCATTGTCTCTGATTAACTGGTCTTCTATATAATTTAGGGAGGTGATAACAATGGATACCTAGCTCATCTATTTCTCTTGGAAATGTAACACTGGAACAGGTATTATGAGGGTGCGAGAAGGCAGTGAACACCCAGGCTTTATTTTATACACATCCTGTCAGCCTTCCAGGGTGCTTCAACAAATGTAGATGGGACTGCACTATAAACACAGTAATGGCATTAAAAAAATACATTTTTATCAAAAATGTACATTAAATTTACAAAATTGCAATAAGTTAGCAAAAGCCAAGACAATGCAGTGTACAATCAAAAACAGCCAGACGCAAAGCTGATTTAAATTTCAGTAGATGGAATGGCACTTCTGTTATCTGTTTGTGTCAGCAGCCCTTTTCGTATCAAGTCTTAACCTCAATTTGTTTTTCTTTAAAACAGAGGGAAATAATATGGAAACAATGGTCCAGGCGCTCTTCCGAGCGCATGAATAGCATTGCCACAAAATGCCATTAAATGAATGTGTAATATGGAGAGTTTGAAAAACAGACTGGCAACGAAACAAACACTCCATGTTATTTGTTGTTTAGCAGTAGATAGCTGCTAAATACTTCTTAATTACAATTTGTATTACTTTTATCCCATCTTCTTTTCTTTCTTTTTATTCTGTGGCTTAGCTCCTGCTTCCTTGTAAACTTCCTCAGGGAACACAAACTGCTGACTTTACATCTACTGACAGAAATGCCACAATATAAATTAAGTCAGGGATATGCTGGTTTTTGGGGGGTGCCAACCTAGATAAAAAGCCACTATGCAGCTGCAGAGTATAAAACTGTCCAGCTGAGCACTGATAAAATTTATCACAAGGGCACATATGAGGAGGCAGCTTAGAGAACAATTCTGTGGTAAAATGTGTAACAGCAAAATAACTAATGGAACATCATTACTTAATTGTAAATGCATCACAAGCTTAGGGTCTGATGTTAGTCTTTGGACTAAAAGCCTCTTAGCTGCTGTGACTTTTAAAATTAAGTAGCCATGAACAACATTCAGAATACTGTGCATACTGTCGAAAGTGTCACTGTTAGGAATCTGTTATCTAATATCTAAAATATGAAATTGGGTTGAAACGCGAGATTGTAAAGAATTAATGTACGTATAGTTTTGTGCCTTGTTTTGAACTCTGAAGTGCCAAACTCCCCAAGTTTTTACTGGCAGCCATGAAGGCTACAAATGGGTGGCCCATTCCAACGCGTGAACTTCAGCAGCCACAGCGCAAAACTGTAAGATTGTGTAATCCAAACAATTTAATTGTCAAAGGGACTGTTTCTGTTCTAGATGATGCTGGGATCTCCCAGCTTCTCCTCCATCCTACTGTGGTTCTGGCAGTCAATCACAGCACGAAGTCCTCAGGCAAAAACCCAAGATACGTTTGTTTCAGATCTATTTCAGGCCTGGAAAAGGCCAGATAGTTATTCTGCCAAAGATACAAATTTGAAAGTTTAAACAAATGTTAGCATCCATCAAAAAACATCCTACTTATTTATGGGAAAGATTTGGGTTTGAATCCAAATCCTCAGCTGGTGATAGAATTGTGTGCCCAGACAAAGTCTAACTGCAAGCCTACACAATTTGTAAGCCACCAAGCCAAATGCAGCTCACCGGCGATGTATGGCAGCCTGCCAAGTCCTTGACATTCACCCTGTATTTTGCAGTCCCAGGCAGGCAACAAAATGGGAAAGTTATTACGTCCTTGGCAAGTCACTGTACATGATTGGTAGGCTGCGTTCTGATGGGAGTTGGTGGGCAGTCACAACTTGCCCCTTATTATTTTGTTTGTAGATCGAGCCAAAGAGGCTGACACAGAAGGTGTGACATACTCTAGACTTCAATATTACGAAGGAACAGGCTGATGGCCAGGAATTGATGATTCTTGTAAGTGGGCAGGAAGGTCACCCAGATCTCACACACCAAAGGTGGGATTTGGCTAGACTGTAGTCCAGAGACTGCTCAGAGCAGCTTTAGAGGGACACAGAAGCATATGGAACTGCCTTACACCAAGTCAGACCATTGCTCTATCCAGCTTAGTATTGTCTATCCTGAGTGCTGGCTCTAGGTGTTTGGGGACTCTTAGGCAACATGCATTGATGGTGGTGGTGGCATTCTTGAATGGGCTCAGCTACTGTTGCTTTATTCACTTGACCAATCTGGATAACTACTCAGACCACAAGGCAGGTGGAAGATGCTGGTCTAAGTAATCTCTCTTGTAAGTACTTGCATGCTTAGGGGGAATGGGTGTCAGCAAGGAGGAGGGGCAGGGGTTAGTAGTGGGTCCTCTGATAAAATATGGGCCTTGGCAGATGCCTGATGTTGCCTACAGCTGACACCAGCCTTGCCTACTCTCACATCAAAGGTCACAGCTCAACTCCTGTCTCCCAAATTATACATGGAGGAAGAGTCTTCTCTACCAGCCAAGCATTTACTCTCTGTAGTTGTGGGTGTCAGGCTGTGTATGTGTGCAGAAGGGAAGCAGTGTACTGGCATTTGTGTCTCTGAATCAAGAACCCAATTTCCACTTCCAGAGACCCCAGAAAAGAGGGTGGGAGCTGAAACCCAAAGAACAAAACATCAGCAACCAGTTTGTGAAGCCATCCCCAAAATTACTCTGAAAGACAGAATAGTGACCAAAGTCTGAACTGTAATTTTCTAGGAACAGTGCTAGAAAGCAGGCCTTGTCCCTGGTAAATAAGGTGAATTGCAGCTTATGAATTCTGTGGAGATGTATAACTGAAGTGTTTGCACCTCTTTATTAGGATGCACACTTACTGATTTAAATAACAACAAACAATATCTAGACCCCTTTAAAATCACTATTCCAAATTACTTACAGTCCAGAGAACCGGGAACTGTATTGCCTAAGGTTTACGTTTTTATTTATTTTATTTTATTCCAGAATACCTCAAGCAAAAAAGCAATTTGTGATTCAGGACAGCTACTGTGGTATGTCTATAAGCCAATTCTGTGTGACACACTGTCCTTGCTTTCTAAAGTGGGCTTCATCTCACTTTTAATGTGTGAAAGGAGAGATTATTCAACACCGTGGTAGACACATTTCTGTTCTCAAGAACACTGTGATATCATTAATCTTCTGGCAAGTCTGCAAAGCAGGTTATATGAATGCAAGTATTTTGCAAGGCTATAAATAAAGTTTAAAGAGAAAAAGAGACAGAAAGAAAGGCTGGCTTCTTACAGCTTTTACTTCTGTAATACAAGCTTTATTAACTGTGCACTGGTTTACTAGTAATCACACTTTTGAAAAACTCTTTATTGCTTTTAGAAATCTCTTTATTTGTCCAGGAAATGTTGTGTGTGTGGGGGAGACATCTTATACCAGAACTGTGCTAAGGCACACTAAAAAAAGAGAGAGATAGCAGTGAT